AAGGTAATTGGTAAGCTAGTTTTATTTTAAAATATTTTTTAAATCTTAAACAGTAATAAACTGGAAGGATGAGGGTTCTATTGACTATAACACCTCAATATTTTGCTAAATAGTGGCACGGGACCATCTGATCCCAATCACTTCAATTTTTATTTAACTACAAACGTGTAATTCAAATGTTGTTTAAGGAAATGTGATATTATTTGTACTATCAAAACCAATAATGTAAATAATTATCTTTCAATAAATTTTCTAGTTAAAAAATTCTGTTTCTGGTATCTCATTTTTCTTCTATTGTTCTTCAGTTTATTCACTGATAAAACATCCACAATTGTTTAATAACAAATTAATTTTACAATTTCTGTTATAAATTGTGCCTCCTTGGACTGCATCCACATAGTGAAGGTGCCATGGATAGCAAGCACATAAGAATAAATCATCCCAATCAATCTGGGTGAATGTCTCACAACTACAAGAAATTATTTTCTAGTTTTACTCGTATAAGGTGTTGTGGATGCAAATTACATATTCATTAACAGATGGAGTGGATAGTTATGACAAACAAAATAAAGAGGGTACCTTTTGAGTATCTACATTACGAAAATGACTCGGAATAATACATTATCACTGCGGGATAATGATGTGCCTTATTTAAGTTAACATTTAGTTTTTCACAACACAATACAATACAACAATAAACATCACAGACGATAACATAATTATTTGTTTTTTGTTGTTCATTGCAAAAACGAATTAACATATACTCCATAAAACCTTCACGTGTTTCTATCTAATATTTAGGCGGCCACCATTTTGTCTAAAAACGAACATATTGCCTGGTGATTTATGTGCTTTATTTGTCAACTAATGACTGCCTAAGAAAAAACAAATGATAAATTTTCAGCAATCATGTTTATTCGACACTACAACACTTTAAGTATGTTGAGCTGTGAAACGCGTGGACCAGCGATACTAGCACGAAAACCTACCAAATGGGTTATGCGCCGCCTTTATCGTCGGTCGAGCGCTGATACCCGAGAGCAGCGCGCTTGCCCAACAATGAAACACCTCCATATTTGATTACCTGGGTCGCGACGTTCTCTGTTGCTTTTCGCGTTGCGCAGCTTTGCTCTTATCGTTTATTCGCAGCTAACCATAAACCGTATCTCTAAATCATTCAAGATTTATCCGATGATAACTTCGATAACGAAACTCAGTATATTTTGAAAAATAATGATTTGAGAGATATTTACAGCACGAAGCCATTTCACTTTTAATATCCTGGCAAAATTTTGAAATTTTTTCAATGAATAATTTGTTCTCGAATTGAGTAAATGCACTTAAAAGAATATCGCGTGTCTCATTTCCTCCTCTTCCTCGGCTGTCGTTCTCTTCAAGCGAACACTGCGCTCGAGGTGGCTCCAAGCTGAGACGGGAGTTATCGTAAAGGAGGGTCGCTGATGGTGGGTCTGGTAAAAAGGTAAAAAGTAAAGAGTGAATACTGCGAAGGCAGACTCTTTTGACGGACGGGCAAGCAAATGAATTTCAGAACGATTTGACGAGCCCATCGTCTATCCAGAAGC